AATCTGTCGTTTTATCCTCCTTTTCATGGAGCACGCTGTCCAGCAATTTCATGAAAAGGGGAGAGTGTGGGGTATAATTTTTGAGACCTTACGTATCTGAAAATGTTTTTATTCTAATCTCATAGTAGAACAATGATTTGGCTGGATAGAGTGTCTAGGTTGAGATTCATTTTACCAGAATTTTAAAGGAAAGTCTCCGTTGTTTTCTGTGTTGTGAAAAACCCTTATGCCTTTTATTGTGCTACCCATATATGTTTTTTTATGTTTAGAAATTTCTAGAATCTTCTCTATATTCCTGGTGTCAGAAGTTTTTATGAGATATACTGGGTGTATGTCTTTTAAGAAAAATCATTGTCTTAGGGACTTAGGGCAATTCATCTTTCAATTCTGAAATTTTGAGACAAGGACTTAGTCTGTTGCCCAGGCTGGAATGCAGTAGGGTGATCCTACCTCACTGTGGCCTGGAACTTCTGGGCTCAGGCAATCCTCCTGCCTCAGCCCCGTTAAGTAGCTGGGACTACACGTGCGCGCCACCATGCCCAGCTAATTTTTTGTAGAGATGGAGGTTTCACCATGTTGCCCAAGTTGGTTTCAAACTCTAGGGTCAAGCAATCCACTCACCTCGGCCTCCTAAAGTGCTGGGATTACCAATGTGAGCCACCAGGCCTGACCTGGAAATTTAATTTTTGGGTAATTTTCCTTCATCCCTTTTCTCTCTGTATTTTAAGACAGCATCTCACTGTATCACCCAGGCTGGGGTGCAATGGTGCGATTATAGCTCACTTCAACTCCTGGGATCAAGGTGTCCTCTCGTGTCAGCCCTCAGATTGGCTGGGTCTACAGGTCCCATGCCATTACGCTGGGCTTCTCTGTTATTTTTTTATAGAACGCATATCAATTGCATTTTGGACCTTCAGATCTTCTTCTGTTTTTAAAATGTTTGTCTGTTTTTCTTTCTTTCTTTTTTTGAGTCCTTTAACCTTTTTTCCAACCTTATTATTTTTGTTGTCTGTGTGTTTTTTTGAAACAGGGTCTCGCTCTGTCTCCCAGGTTGGAGTGCAATGGTGCAATATTGGCTCACTGTAGACTCTCCCACTTGGGCTCAGGTCATCCTCCTGCCTCAGCCTCCTGAGTAGCTGGGACTAAAAGTGTGCACCACCATGCCCAGCTAATTTTTGTATTTTTTTTGTAGAGACCAATTTTCATCATGTTGGCGGGGCTGGTCTCAAACTCCTGGGCTCAAGCAGTCTGTCTGCCTTGGTTGCCAAAGTGCTGGATTACAAGCGTGAGCCATGGCACCTGGGGGTGTGTGTGTGTGTGTGTGTGTGTGTGTGTGTGTGTGTATTTCTTTAAATTTTAAGCTCTCTGTCTTATTTTTCGAATGTTCCTCCTACTCTTGTTTGCTGGATTGTCATCTCACATGTTAACATCTGAGGATATTAACTGTGATTTTTGTTCTTAAAGTTAATCTGAGGATATTAACTGTGATTTTTGTTCTTAAAGTTTTCTTCTGTATGTTCTGGTTTACTATGAGTTGCTTATTTTCTTCCTGTTTTGGTTTCTTTTATGGTGAAGGCTTTCATTATGTTTGGTAATATTTTGTTGTATATTTAGCAAAAAGTTAGCAGAAAGAAATGTTTATAGAAAAATGTTGTAAATACAACTGTAACCTGCATTTAAGGTTTGGGCTTGTCAACTAGTAGGGTGTCAACCAGTAGGGTGATTGGGTAGGGGCCTGTCCTTTTTGTAGGGAACCCTCAAAAACTTATATATCTTTTCTTAGGTGTTGTTCAGTTTTTGCAGATATTCAGGAATCCTCTAATTGCTGTTGTAGGAGATATACTTGACTTTAGAATTCTTGGATTCAAGCCCACAGAGGACTATTACTTTTACCAATTGATTATAGACTTTAACTTAACTTAATCCCTTTAACTTTTAGTTTGGCACCTCTGCCTTTTTAAACTTTGTCCTTGGACCTGGTGCTTCTTTGATTCACTTTTCCCCAAAAATAAACCTTCTCTCCTATGGGGATTGGGGAAGAGTATCACCTGGCTGGATAGAATGGAGGAACTCAGGAATACTACATAAATTCAATCAATTTCTTTGTTTTTAGCCTTGTGCCTCATTGTGCCTGCTCTGATATCTGGTGTCTTAAATTCCTGATACTTTCTGATTTTTGCTATGTGAATTTGCCTTTCTCTTGTTGGAATTCTCTACAGTTGCCTGATAATAAGCTTTCTTAGCTCTAATCCTCCATGTGTTTTTCATTTGCCAAAAGTTTGTTGACATATCTTATCTACTGTTTCTGTTGTTTTCTAGCCTCTGTCCTTTCAAATTTATACTTTTAAATTTCTTTAATCTTATGTTGGTATTTTTTAAAACAAGATAATAAGGTAGTAAAAAGTCATCTTAATTTAAATGGTTATTTGTGTGTAAAGGACATTCTTAAATGATTAAAGATAAAAACGGCCGGGCGCGGTGGCTCAAGCCTGTAATCCCAGCACTTTGGGAGGCCGAGGCGGGTGGATCACGAGGTCAAGAGATCGAGACCATCCTGGTCAGCACGGTGAAACCCCGTCTCTACTAAAAATGCAAAAAATTAGCTGGGCATGGTGGCGCGTGCCTGTAATCCCAGCTACTCAGGAGGCTGAGGCAGGAGAATTGCCTGAACCCAGGAGGCGGAGGTTGCGGTGAGCCGAGATTGCGCCATTGCACTCCAGCCTGGGTAACAAGAGCGAAACTCTGTCCCCCCCCCCCATAAAAAAAAAAAAAAAAAAAAGATAAAAACAAGAAAGGAATTAAAAGCCAAGAAATAAAAAAATTAATTGTTGTCACTTAATTGTGTACATATTTCTTAACATGGATATAAATATATATGTGTGTGTGTGTGTAATATACACACATACATATGTGGATATCATATAATGGATATGTGTATATATTTTATGTATAAATAGATATTTACATACACATGTTTGAATATATATGTATGTACAGATATACCTTATGTATGTCTGTATTGTTTGTAATACATACATGTTTGTATTTACATAGATACATGTTTTACATATGTATACTTTCATAATCATATTCTTTTAAAGCTGGAAAGTATCATGGTCATTTTTTATCTATTGTAGTTTCATTTTTTTAAAATAAGGAAACTGGCATAGATGTGCTAGTGATTTACTGATAGTTTCAAAACCAAGTGTTCCCAGTGTTTTGTTAAACTGTAAAAATCTTAGACATATGAACAGCTTGGAGGTTCAGAGCTATATTTAAAATCCTTAATTCTGGCTCTAGGTAAATAGCTTCAAGTTTTGATTTGAATCGTAATAGTTTTTTTTCAACTGGTATTGCATTGGAATCAGGGAGGGGCTGGCTCACCTGATGCTTCTGAAAGCAAAGCAGTAATTTAACATATTATGAGTTGGCACAAAAGTAATTGTGGCTTTTGCCATTACGTTTAATGTAATATATTTATTAGCATTAAATACATTAATATAGAAATATATTTAATACTAATTAATATTAATTATAATCATATAATGATTAATATTATTAAATGTATTAATACATATTAATTAAAACATTGTATTTATATTAATATATTTAGTAATAATTAATATGTTACATTAAAAGTAATGGCAAAAACTGCAATTACTTTTGCACTAATATAATAATTTGCTTATAATGATGGTATTTAACTTATTTTGAATAAATATTAAAGACGATGTGAACTTTTATTTATCTGATCTAAGTGATTACAGTGAATCTTGTTTTTATATGACTTTGAAAGATAACTAATAACTATATTAATAAAAAATTATTGCATGTGAGAATCTAAAGTTTAAAGTAAAACAACTAAGCTTCTTATCAGCTAAGTTAATTCTAAATATACAAGGCTTAGGTTCTGTTTTTTTTCCCCATTGTACACTAAATGTCTGTGTTACCATAACTATATAGAAATAGTTTGAAAAAATTATATTTTATTCATCATTTAAATATTAATTTTCATAAGTACATTAAAAATTATCTCAATGGATACCATTATAATAATGCTATGATGAATGTTTTCATGAATATATCCTTTAGACATTTTTTTTTAGATATATTTGTAGAAGTAGGATTTCGCTGTCAAAAAACCATCAACATTTTTAGATTATTATCACTTAATTGTGTATATATTTCTTAACTTGGATATAAATATATATGTGTGTGTATAATATACACAGATATGTAAATATCTGTTATATATAATATATGCATAATGGATATCTATTATATATTTAATTTAAATTATTGTTTTATTGCTTTCTAAAAAGATTATTCTGCCACCTTATATAGGTACTAGCAATGTGTGAAGAGCTGACTGATTTCACAATAACCTCATTAACTTTAGTACTTTATATTTTCTCCCCTAAGTTTCACAAGTGAAATGATTATAGTTCATTGTTTCTATTTGTACTTTGTTGATGATTAATGAGGTTTTATCTGTTTAAAAATGTAGAATTTTCTGTTAGAAAAATGCAACTCTAAGATAGTAAAATATCTTTCATCATCAAAGAATGTAAGAATAAAGGAATAGTTGATTGATTGCTAAAGAATATGTCATATAATTAATGAGAAATGTAACTTAAAATATCAGATAATTGTTATAAAGAACTGTTCTCATGTCTTGTCAAGAAGCCAGGCACATAAACAATTTTACTTTAAGCCTTTTAAAAATTTTACAAAGTTTTATAAAAAGTAGTAAATTGAGGCAAGAAACAGTGGTTCATGCCCGTAGTCCCAGCACTTTGGAAGGCCTGCAGGAGGATCACTGGAGCCCTGGACTTCCAGGTTACAGTGAGCTGTGATTGTGCCACTGCACTCCAGCCTGGGATACAGAGGGAGACCTCGTCTCTAAAATAAAATAAATAAATGAAATAAAATAAAAAATTAATTCATTGCATTTCATCCATTGTGCCACCATGTTAGAAATAATATTCTTCTAATTTAAGCTTACAGAAATGGGACGTCGGTCATCAGATACTGAAGAAGAAAGCAGAAGCAAGAGAAAAAGGAAACACCGTAGACGGTCCTCCTCGAGCAGTTCTTCAGATAGTAGAACATACAGCCGAAAGAAAGGAGGAAGGAAATCAAGATCAAAGTCAAGATCTTGGTCCAGAGATCTTCAGCCTCGCTCACATTCTTATGATAGAAGGTGATTTTCATAATTGTTATTTATATAGTAATGAGGATAACATTCTTTAACATTTATGTTTTTGTATTTTTAATTTTACTAGATAAAAACATTTTTCTTTTACTAGCTATATATTTATGAAAGTTAAGTCCCAACCCAGAGTTTTTTTATTCCTACCAGGTCCAGTCCATGGGTCTAGTGTCTTCAACCTTTGTTTATTCTTAGTAGGTAAATAGTTATAAACTGGTATAGTTTTCTTTTTAAATTTAATTTTTTTTTAGAGACAAGATCTTGCTGTCACTCAGGCTGGAATGCAGCGGTGCAGTCATAACTCTTGGATACTCAAGGGATCCTTCCACCTCAGCTTCCTGAATAGCTGGAACTATAGTTACGTGCCACCATGCCTGGCTAAGTTTTTTGTTTTTATCTTTTACAGACTAGGTCTTGCTGTGTTGCTCAAGCAGGTATTGAATTCCTGGCCTCAAGTGATCCTCCTGCCTTGTCCTTCCAACATGTTGGGATTATAGGCATGAGCTATTGAGCCTGACCTTGGTTTAGTTTTCATACTATGTAATCTGATGATATTTGGAAAGATTCTAAGACCCCTAATACCTTAATTAGTAGCTGATCCAATCACTAAGTTATGTATCAGTCATCTGACTGTTTAAGATAAATAACATTTTAAATTAACTTTATTTGCTTCTGGGAAAGAGTGAGACAGTAAAAATGAGATTATTCTTTAGCATCTAGAAGGTTTTTCCTTAATGCTCGTAATAAAAATTATTTTAGTAATGATCTTTGATTATGTTTTATTTCAGACGCAGGCATCGATCAAGCAGTAGCTCTTCTTATGGCTCTAGAAGGAAGCGAAGTCGAAGTCGTTCAAGGGGTCGAGGGAAATCCTATAGAGTTCAGAGGTCTAGGTCAAAAAGCAGAACAAGAAGGTATGCATTATTAAGTATTTATTGCTTTGTAACAAATTATTCCCAAATTGTAGTGCAATAATCATTTATTTTCTCATGATCATATAATTTTGACTGAGCTTAACTGGCACTTATTTTTTCTCACTTGGGGTCACTCCTGCAGTTATAGTCATCTGATAGCTTGATTAGAACTGGATGGTCCAATGTGGCCTCACTCATATATCTTGCATTGGGTTCTGGCTGTTGGCTGGGGTGTACGTGTTTTCCCATTGTCCAGTAGGCTAGGTTGGGTTTTTTTTTCGGCCGGGTGGTGGTAGCATGTGTGATCCCTCGACATGAGTTTACTAGAATTTTGTTAAGGATTTTTGCATCAGTATTCATCATGGATTTTTGGTTTGTAATTTTCTCATAATATATTTGCCTGGCTTTGGTATCAGAGTAATGCTGGCCTCATAAAATGAGTTTGGAAGTGCTCCCTCCTTTTCAGTTTCTTGGAAGATTTTCAAAAGGATTGACGTTAATTCCTTTTTTTTTTTTAATTGTACTTTAAGTTCTGGGGTACATGTGCAGATCGTGTGGGATTGTTGCATAGGTACACACATGGCAATGTGGTTTGCTGCCTCCATCCCCCTGTTACCTACATCTGGCATTTCCCCCATGTTATCCCTCCCCGACCTCCCCACCACCCCACTGTCCCTTCCTTGGCCCCCACAACAGACCCCAGTGTGTGATGCTCCCCTCCCTGTGTCCATGTGTTCTCATTGTTCATCACCTGCCTATGAGTGAAAACATGTGGTGTTTGATTTTCTGTTCTTGTGTCAGTTTGCTGAGAATGATGGTTTCCAGATTCATCTGTGTCCCTACAAAGGACACAAACCCATTTTTTTATGGCTGCATAGTATTCCATGGTGTATATGTGTCACATTTTCCTTGTCCAGTGTATGGTCGATGAGCATTTGGGTTGGTTCCAGGTCTTTGCTATTATAAACAGTGCTGCTATGAACACTGTTCGTTATAACAGAATGATTTATAATCCTTTGGATATATACCCAGTAATGGGATTGCTGGGTCAAATGGAATTTCTTTTTAAATGTTTGGTGGAATTCTGCAGTGAAGCTGCCTGCTCCTGGACTCGTCTTTGTTAGAAGGTTTTTGCTTACTTTTTCAATCTCAAGTTATAGGTCTGTTAAGATTTTTTTTTTCTTCATGATTCAGTCTTGATAGGTGCTATATTTCTAGGAATTCATCCATTTCTTCTAGGTAATCCAGTTTATTAGCATTCTTAGTAGTTTTTTATAATCTTTTTGATTTTTATGGCATCAATTTTAATGTCTGCTATTTCATTTCTGATTTTAGTTATTAGCCTTCTGGTATTTTTCTCTTCTTTTTCTCTTTTTTGGTTTCAAAATGTTGCTCTGTTACCCAGGCTTGGGTTCATTGGTGCAGTCAGCTCACTGCAGCCTCAAACTCCTGGGCTGAAGTGATCCTCTTGCCTCACTCTCCTAAGTGACTAGGACTATAAGCATACGCCACCAGGCCTGGCTGATTTTTTAAAATATGTTTTGTAGAGGTCAGTCTCACCATATTGCCCAGGCTGTCTCCAACTCCTGGCCTCAACTGGTCATTCTACCTTGTCCTCCCAAAGTACTGAGATTATAGGTACCAGCTAGCTTGCTTGGCCTCATTTTTTCTTAATCCAGCTAAGTACTTGTTAATTTTGTGTTGTTTTTTTCAAAAAAAACTTAGTTTTATTGATTTTTTTTCCTGAAGTTTTTCTCTTTTTGTATTCTCTATTTCATTTATTTTTTTCTGTAATCATGTTTTTTTCTTCCTTTGGCTAATTTTTGGTTTAATTTGTTTTTCTTTAGTTCCTTGAAGTATAAAGTTACATTGATATGAGATTTTTCTTTTTTTCTTAAATATAGGTGTTCATCATAAAACTTTCCTCTCAATATTGCTTTTGCTGCTTCTCTTAAGTTTTACCACGTGTGTTTGTGTTTTCATTTGTCTAAAAGCTATTTTCTAATTTAAGATTTCTTCTTTGCTATATTTGGTTGTTCAAGAGTGTGTAATTTCTGCATATTTGTGCATTTTCTGATTTTCCTACTGCTATTGATTTCTAGCTTCAGTTCTTTCTGTTTTGAAAAGATACTTGCTATGATTTCAGTCTTATTAAATTTGTTAAGACTTGTTTTGTGGCCTAACATGAAATCTGTCCTGGAGAATGTTCCATGTATGCTTGAGAAGAATACATATTTTGCTGCTGTTGTGTGGAATGTTCTATGTATGTATGTTAGGTCTAATTTACCTGTAGTGTTGTTCAAGTCCTCTTATCTTATGTCTTAGTTTTCTATCCATATTGAAAGTGGAGTAGTGAAATATCCTACCGTTACTGTGTTACAAAATATTTCTCCCTTCCATTTTGGCAATGTTTGCTTTATATATTTGGGTGCTCTGGTGGTAGGTGCATATATATATTTATAAATTGTTATATATTCCAGAATAATGACCCATTATCATTATATTATTATCTTTTTTTCTTGTGACAGTCTTTGACTTAAAGTCTATTTTGTCTGATATAAGTATGGCCACTTCTCTTTCTTGGTACCATTTGCATGGATTATCTTTTTCCATCTTTTTTAATATATGTGTGTGTTTACATCTAAGGCACATCTTTTGTAAACATCATATACTGTAGTTGTATCTTATGTGTATGAGTGTGGGTTTTGAAAAATCCATTCAGCTACTCTGTGTGTTTTGTTTGGGGAGTTTAATCCAGTTACATTTACAGTAATTATTCATGGGGAAGGACTTACAGTTGCCATTTTGTTGATTGTTTTCTGCCTTGTAGCTATTTTGTCTTGTGTCTCCTGCCGCTTTCCTTTTTGTTTTGTTGATTTTTGTATTGACATGCTTTGATTTTTTTTTTTTCTCATTTTATTTTGTATATGTTCTATAGGTATTTTCTTTGTGGTTGCCATGAGGCTTATATATAACATTATCTATTTTAAGTTGATAATAACCTTTGATTGTATACAAAAATACTACTCATATATTTCTCCACTCCTATTTTATGTTATTGATATCACAGTTTATATCTTATTCTATCCATTAATATAGTTTATATTTAGTTATTTTTTATGCTGTTGTCTTTTCAATTCTGTATATGAATTAACAATGTTTTATATGACACCATTACAGTGTTACTGTACTCTGTACTTGTGTATGTATTTACCTTTACCAGTGAGCTTTATGTTTTTCTGTGCTTTTCTGTTGCTGTCTAGTGTTGTGTTATTTCCACTTGCAGGACTCCTTTTAATATTTCTTGTAAGGCAGGTCTGGCAGTGAAGAACTCTCTTAGCTTTTGTTTATCTGGGAAAGATTTGATTTGTCTTTTGTTACTGTAGAACAATTTTGCTAGATATAGTGTTCTTAATTGACAGGTTTTTATGGGACTGAAGAAGAATACCGCCGTATTTCTTGTTTGCTGGGAATTTTTTAGTACCAATCACTTGGTTTTTGTTAAAGGCTTTTTCTTTATTTAGTGGGATGATTATGGTTTATTTTTGGATACATTTTCATCATTTTTTGTTGTCACTAACCTATTGATTTTTTTGTCCCACTTTGTTATTTCTGTGTACTGAAGACCCCATGGTCAACTTGATTTTATTGCCTAATGTAGAATTGAAATAATGTGGTGCAAAATGTTCATTTTGTACCATATCGAAAACACCCGTTGTGTATGGGTGGCATTGAAAGATTTAAAGTGACACATTTACTCATGAACTAGGTACTCCCAGACAAATATTTCCTGTTGGTCTTCATTCTCTGGGTTCTTCTGCATGAATATTTTTTCTTTCATAGTGATATATTTTGCTTTTGATTCAGGATGTCAAATTGAAGACATTTTGTGAATGTGACATGAGATAATTGTTGTCTCAGGTGATTTCTTGAAACTGTACACCTGTCAACTACAAGTTTAAAGGGTTTTAGGGAAGAGATCAATTATTTATATTAGAGAAATTAGGAAAATTGTTAATGTATTAGAAATAGAACAAGTAACAAATATTTATTAATTTGAAAAAGTAACAATTTTAGAAAATGCATTTATCTAGTAAAATAATTTACTGAAAGTACTTTGTACACTGTAAAGGCCAGCATAAATGCTATTGTTTTCTTAAGAAGTCATTTTATTTTATTTTAGGCCAGGTGTGGTGGCTCATGCCCGTAATCCCAGCACTTTGGGAGGCTGAGGCAGGTGGATCACGAGTTCAGAAGTTCAAGACCAGCCTGGCCAAGATGGTAAAACCCTGTCTGTACCAAAAATACACAGATTAGCCGGGTGCAGTGGTGGGCGCCTGTAATCCCAGCTACTCAGGGGGCTGAGGCAGGAGAATTGGTTGAACCTGGGAGGTACAGGTTGCAGTGAGCTGAGATTGTGCCACTGCACTCTAGCCTGGGTGAAAGAGCAAGACTCTGTCTCAGAAAAAAGTAGTTATTTTATTTTATTTATTTGTTTGATACAGGATGTTGCTCTGTTACCCAGGCTGGAGTGCAGTGGCGCGATCTCGGCTCACTGCAAACTTTACCTCCTATGCTCAAGGGATCCTCGTACCTCAGCCTTCTGAGTAGCTGGTATTACAGGTGCACACCATCACACCCAACTAATTTTTGTATTTTTTGTGGAGATGGGGTTTCATCATGTTGCCCAGGCTTGTCTCAAATTCCTGAGCTCAAGCAATCCCCCCACCTTGGCCTCCCAAATGACAGGGATTATAGTTAAAATACATGCCACCCTGCCTGGCCAATAAATCATTTTAATTATTATTTCTTTTATTACATACTAGAACATACTTGTGAATTGTCTTCTATTTTATCATATTTTAGTTGTTTAACAGACTTTTAAAAAAGGTGTCTCATTTCTCCATGCTTTTATTTATCTGAGGAACAAAGGACAGCATGTCTGATGATCTTTTTCTAGTATCCCTTTCTTGATTATTGGGTAGAAAAATTGGACTGCA